GGCGCAGTGGATAAAGGCGTTGGTTAGATCCAGTGACAAGACCTAAAGAGTGTGAGTTCAATACCCGGCTAAGGCAGTGGAGAACTTTCAGTGGGGAATTAACAGGAGATAACTGACATCCATTAAACATGGCAGGTGGAACTAGAACAGTCTACCCCAGTGAGCGAAATAAAGGGTTCAGTTCGACATTCCAACCACCTGAAAATTGCCAGAGTGTGAAAGGGCCGAAACGTTGTGATAAATATGGCAACAAAAATGAGGACAATATTCCGAATAATGTAAATAGTGTACATAATACCTCATCTCAGAAATATAGACAGATACTAAAGGGCCGAAACGTTGTAATAAATATGGCGACAAAGATGAGGAAAATAGTCCGAATAATATAAATAGTGTACATAATACCTCACCTCAGAAATATAGACAGATACTGAAAGGCTGAAACGTTGTAATAAATATGGCGACAAATATGAGGACAATAGTCCGAATAATGTAAATAGTGTACATAATACCTCATCTCAAAAATATGGACAGAAACCCAAAATATATACCCAAAATTTAAGGATTAGGAATAACCCAAATATATACCAAATATTACGTTTATTCTATTCAGAAATCTTTTACGTTTTCTCAAATCCTTTACGTTTTGTGATTTTTTTGTTGTTGTTATAGAATGATGAAAGTTCTGCTGTCGAAAAGATCCGACATGTTGTGTCAGAAAAGTGCTACATTAATTCTTGCTGTTTGCCGTTAAGGAGGCCAAAATTGACCAAAGGGTTTCATATATCCCGCCTGGGTAGCAGCAAGACAGGCTGTGATTGGATGGTTTTTATGCCAATCCTGAAGTCCCATGCATGGAGGGTTCGGCATACTAAACAGCGCCTTAAACATTACTGCGGCTATATATGTATTTGAGTGTCGTGTGAGTATGTAAATCTCTCTCTCTCTCTCTCCCTGTGTCTCTCGCTTTCTTCTCTCTCTATATATGCGTGTCATATAGGAAGAAAATGAGTAACTGCCGACACCGATGTCTCAACGTGACACTCCGGACTTTGGAAAACATGTTTTCTGCCAGGTGTGTAAATAGCAGTGTCAGGCTACTGACTTCAGTGATTATTGAGTGGCACTTGTATGGAACTATCCAGTCGAATTAGTGTGAATTATTGTGCATCGATGATTTGGGTTTTGATTTAGGGTTTGCCGAGAGTTAAGACGAGCCGTGCTACTAACAAAGTATTCACTGAAATGGTTAATTACCTTTGATTTTTTACTTCTTTGTTCTTGTTAAGTATTTATTTTTTGACGTACGTCCCCCTCTCGTTCGGGTGTCGCCGCTCCAAACGTGACGTCCGCCTGTCTGCGTCAGTCGTGCTATCCCGTCCTGTGACGACCAGTTGGCTTGGTATTGGTCGCGGCACCCAAATGTGACGTTCCAATCTTTTGGTGATTCGGATGGGAATCTGGTTAGATTCGATATCAGCCTCGTCGTTCCCAACTCGCCTCCAACGTCTGGTTACCGAAGTAACTACTTTGACCTGCAGTTTGCCTACTCACGTTGTGAATTGATCTAGGTAGACGAAATCAATCAGTCGCTGGTGCCGTAATGCAAGCTGAGTTCGAATAAGGGCGATATCGCACAAGTATATGCAAAAGAAAATAAAATAATAACTCGAAAAGTTCAAATGTGTTAAAAAGGATAACAATATTTTACATCTGGTTGCTGAATATAGGACTACGTCTTTCTCCCAAAACCGCTATATGGATGCGTGACACGTTGTTTTTGTTAGGCAAATCTTAACATCTTAAGTTTTCTGTTCTTTAAGAAACTGGTTCTTGGTGTGTCTTCAGGCGATATTCGTAAAACTTGTTTTGGTGGTATGAGTCTAAGTCGTTCTTCAAAAATAAATTGTTCTTGGATTGAAGATGAGTCGGAATTGCGTGAATCTTTCAAGCTAATGCGTGGTGGGTCTTCAGAGCTCTCAACTTAATCTCGAAAAAACTGAACTCGACTGGAACTCAACTGATTTTCGCTAGCTGCGACTTTGCTTATATGGACGCCGACCAAAACCGGGGTGGGCTTTGTTGGGGTTTGAAGTTCCTTGATAATTCCAAATCCACAATCCCCTTCTTTTGTTTTCGGTCAGGAAAAATTTATCATTTCCATTTTTGGAAGTCTTCTCTTACTCCCACCTTTTTCTGTTCTCATATGGGTATCTCACCTTACCCTCAGAAGGCGTCAACGGTTTTCCCACTCCTTCGCAGTAACATCTCATACCTATCCTCTCAATGGGTGGTAGCAGGCTTCCCCCTCTGCATTACATGATCACCTCCGCCTGGCTCTCGTTAACATTCATCCAATGGGCGTTCAACCGGGTGGGTGTAACCAGACTAGCCTTGTTTTTAAAAAAAATATCTTGCTCAAAAAAAAAAAATAATAATAATCTCCTCTTTCTTCCTTTTTCCTATTGCTTTTCTTTCTTTTCTTTCTCTCTTCTTGTCTGGCCGCTAACAGAACAATACGACCCGTAGTGTGATAATCTCAATTCTTATCCCAATGTCACTTTCATATGGAATTCGTCAATCAGATTTTCGCCAGCACCAAGTGGCTGGTCAACCAGACACAATCACTTTCCGGCGCCAACAATTGATACGATGAAACGACTTCGCCATTTTCTGATAATATTGTTTCGCTGTCATAGTCAAATTTCAGCACAACCCAGATGTCTTTTCTCTCAATGACACCCTCCCATCGACAAAGACTTAACCTAGGGTTAGGTTCTCTTTGTGTGTGGTCAGGACATTCTTATTTCTCGGTCAACGGAAAATCTTTTCCCGATAATATAAGTTCGCCACAATGACAATTTTATCTATTCAAAACTCTGTATCTGGTTATTTGGGCCACCTGGAATTTGTCAATTAGCTTTTCGACAATGGCCATAAAAATTTTCACCATTCTTCATTATCAAAATAACATCGCTAAATGCCCCTTTTATGATGGCTTTCCTTTATCATCTAAGTTTCTCGCCTCTCTTTTTCTTTCTTTTTTTCTTCCTTTTTCCTTGCAGCCCTAAATAGTGTCACAATTTGCTGTTTTAATTAAATACTGATTTATTTCACATTGAAGTCTTGAGTTATACATAATCATTACAGGCCAATGTGCATCACAAAATATCTATCTATCTATCTATCTATCTATCTATCTATCTATCTATCTATTGTATATTAATTATTTGCTCTGTAATAATAAATACATTGAGGTCTTTTTGTGGATCAGTTTTAATATTTTATATTACTAGGAACCACTTTGATCATATACCAACGCATTTTTTACTTTAATACATACATACCTACATACATACATATATATATATATATATATATATATATATATATATATATATATATATATATTTCATGAAAGGTTTTCACACGGAGGAATCAGATAGAGATAGGATTTTTTTAACAATATGATTTCCACAAGAAAATACACCGTCTACAAAATATCTGCCGGTGAATAATCCTCATTTCTCTGTTTATTCCTCTGTTCGTTGATGAAGGACACAGGCGTGTCCGAAAATTCCAGACTTAAAACTTTTCTTTCCGTGCTTCATTTCTGTCATATGGTTAATAATTAATATTTGACAAACGTTTATCGTAATGATTATATTGGTATCTTTTCGTTTGTCCTTGTTTTATTAACTAAACTATCTATTTTACATATTATAAGAAGCACACGTTCACCATCTTTTTCTGATTATGTATATATATATATATATATATATATATATATTATAACATTTTTATGTATATATATTCTTTTTATACATACAAATATTTAAGTAAATGCTCTTTTTCTAATAAACAGTATTAATAATATTTATCGGCCTGAATGTCCGAGAGGTTTTCATAGAAAATATCCGTCCTCCGACAAGAATCGAACCTGCATCCTATACGGAACCGTCATATAGCCTGACGTGCCTTAACCGATTGAGCCACAGAGGATCGTTCAGTTAGCAAGTTCGATTTTACTGCTTTTAAACTACAATCTTCCATGAATCTCTCACGTACGTTCATATTTGCTCAATGCGTATCCAAATCTAAACAAATGACGTCACACATTATGAAATGAACAAAGTCCGACAATTATTTCTAAACATTTTTATGTCTATATATATATATATATACACACACACACACACACACACACACACACACACACACACACACACACATACATATGTGTGTGTGTCTGTGTTTTCGCTACATAATGAAAATCTAACAAATTAACGCTTTGCTTCTATAACTTCAGGATAATTCGCTTTCTTATGAATTCATAAATCATAAGAAGCGCTTAAATAAACTCTAATTTCTTTTCGCTCGATCCTACTTGACACACCTGACACTAATGTGATTTTAACCTTTCAAACATCATTTCGTCAAAACAAAAAGCTTTTAAATGCAAATAGAATGCCACACGGGATAAGAGTATTTTTGTAAACTGTGCATAATAAAATCCTAAAAAAAATGTTTGCCATTTGTATTCTATTAAGAATCAACCATGCATCAACAATTCCGAGATGATCAAGGGCAAGTAACTCCGATGTGACTCTGTTGCATAATGGACGTTTATTCTTCGCTTATATTTCAGAAATAAATTTGTGTGATCCCAATATGCTTTGAATACACCTGGGATCGAAATGCCAGAATGTGCCACATTTAAATCCAATTCATTCATTCTTTTGTTGTTTCTCTGGTGTGTGTGGAAATGGGGTGTGGGGTGTGTGTGTGAACATTCAGAAATTCACACGCGAGCGCGCTTGCAAACTTAGAATTGCAGAGAACATCGACGCAAGCAGGCTGGTTTTATGGTTATATATATATATATATATATATATATATATATATATATATATATATATATATATATATATATATATATAAATGCACATATGCGTGTTGGGATTGCTTGTAACAATTAAGAAATATCCGGATAATCTTTTATGCTTGTCGCTATCACGAAATATAATCTATCTATCTATCTATCTATCTATCTATCTATCTATCTATCTATCTCAAGTCTATTCATATGTATTTATTTTATGTATGAATTTTCATAAAAGTAGTTATATGCACAGATCTGACTAAAATCAAATAAAAAACAATTATTTTTTCTCTTTCATATATATATATATATATATATATATATATATATATATATATATATATATATAATAGCGTTCACACCGTGCTGTTAGTAATAATAATAAAACTTTCGAGTAGCATCGAGTGATGAGGAAAATATAGAATTCTTGTTATCGTATATATATATATATATATATATATATATATATATATATATATATTGATTCAAGATGACGTGCAATTGCCAATTCGATGAATATAAATGTATGAAGAATTACTTTACTACTTTTATGTCGAAGCCTTAATCTATCTATCTATCTCAATTTGCTGATATCTATCTATCTATCTATCTATCTATCTATCTATCTATCTCAGTCTGTTAGCAAATAATGCTTACAGCCATGATCGCATGTATATACCAGCTGCTGTAACCTTTAATATGCGGTTGGTGTAATTGATAATGGCTAGGAATTTTAATCGCTTAGCGGAGTTCTAATTCCCGTTGGGTTTGTTATATTCACTTGGGGATAGTATAAATCAATCCCTTGTTCCCTTACATATGGGGCAGTTAGTAAGGTTTGTATCACTAAACTATTATCTTAAAAATATTTCTTACACAATAAACGACAAATGGCTGATAAACCTTAGGAAACTATATTTATCCAACTATCTATATTAATATGTTCGTAATATACAGCAGTCAGTTCGTTTGTATCTATCTATCCCAGTCTGTTCATATCTATCTATCTATCTATCTATCTATCTATCTATCTATTTACAGGTATACCTCACCCTACGTCGTTAATTGGTTCCAGACTTGAGTCGAAATAACCACACTATAAAGCACAAATAAGCACTGCCTATTGCATATTACAGTATTTATAATATGTACGTACCGTATTCTGAATGAAATACTTCATCAGCGATATAGCCTTACGCTTTTACCATTAGCAATGAAAGAACGATCTGGCAATTCTTTCCAATATAAATCAGTTTCGTCAACATTAAAAATCTGTTCAGGAAGAAAGCCGTTTTCTTCCATGAACTTAGGCAATACTTTAGGAAAATCAGCTGATGCTTGTTCGTCAGCTGATGCACTTTCACCTTCCTTCTTAATAGAGTGATAATACTTAATAGACAGAAACACAGATTCACAGATGTTTTCGTATTTCGTTCTCTAGGATTTATGATGGTTATATTAACATTTACTGTAAATGTACGTATTTTAATATGATTTTATATACTTTTATTCTTATTTGTTGTACAGTAACAGGATTTTATGTGCTTTTAACACATTTCTAGTGATATTATGACTTCAGTATTTGTGGCGGACAGACGTAAAGTCGAATAAAATGACTTAAACTTGATTTTTATTTTTCCATACATTTTTGACAAACGACGTATAATCGAGAACGACTTAAATCGAAACGACGTAAACCTATCTATCTATCTATCTATCTATCTATCTATCTATCTATCTATCTAACCCAGTCTGTTCATATTTATCTATGTATGTATGTATCTATTTGTAATAGGAATAATAATTCATATATTTACAAACGCATATACATTTATGCAATGAGTACGCTTGGTCTGTAGTATTTGGAAACCTTTTCGTCATATTTATTTGTTAGCTACAGAGTAGCGCTTCCCCGATATTTTTGTTTATTTTGCAATGTTCCCAAGACCACTTGGCCATTTCCCTCCCTTTTCATCCAATTTTCTTTTGTTTATTAAGGATTCAGGTCCAACAACCGATTCTGTAAATGTATAGACATTACCTTCTTGGTAAATATACAAAACCTTTTTGGTCCTGCTAATTGCTCAGTCGGTGGCGTCGATATCAGGAAGATTATAATCTTTTTGAAAATCCAGCTCAAAGTATAAATGCTGAATTTGCAGAAATCGAATCATTTCGGGCTACATGTTTTTCATTCAATAAAATCACCTTGGTACATTCTCTCATTAATCAATATAATTATCAGTGACATCAATCGATGTTCATTATATATAAAATATTGTTTGTTTTATTTCATGTTCATTCATAACGTAGAAGATCATGTCTCTCCACATATTCCTTTTAATCTATTATATCTGTGAATTTTGTGGGATGGACAATTATCGCATGCTGTTACAATTTCGGACAATTTCGCTGTTACATGATTTGGACAATTTCGCTGTTTCAGGATTTGAACAATTTCGCTGTTACACAATTTGAACAATTTCGCTGTTCCGCGATATGGACAATTTCGCTGTTACACGATTTGGACAATTTCGCTTTTACACGATTTGAACAATTTCTCTGTTACAGGACTTGAACAATTTCGCTGTTACGCAATTTGAACAATTTCGCTGTTACGCGATATGGACACTTTCGCTGTTACGCGATTTGGACACTTTCGCTGTTACGCGATTTGGACAATTTTGCTGTTGCGTGATTTGGACAATTTCGCTGTTACACGATTTGGACAATTTCGCTGTTACACGATTTGAACAATTTCTCTGTTACAGGACTTGAACAATTTTCGCTGTTACACAATTTGAACAATTTCGCTGTTACGCGATATGGACACTTTCGCTGTTACGCGATTTGGACACTTTCGCTGTTACGCGATTTGGACAATTTTGCTGTTGCGCGATTTGGACAATTTCGCTGTTACACGATTTGGACAATTTCGCTGTTACACGATTTGAACAATTTCTCTGTTACAGGACTTGAACAATTTCGCTGTTACACAATTTGAACAATTTCGCTGTTACGCGATATGGACACTTTCGCTGTTACGCGATTTGGACACTTTCGCTGTTACGCGATTTGGACAATTTTGCTGTTGCGCGATTTGGACAATTTCGCTGTTACATGATTTGGATAATTTCTCTGTTACACGATTTGAACAATTTCTCTGTTACAGGATTTGAACAATTTCGCTGTTACACAATTTGAACAATTTCGCTGTTACGTGATATGGACAATTTCGCTGTTACGCGATTTGGACAATTTTGCTGTTACGCGATTTGGACAATTTCGCTGTTACATGATTTGGATAATTTTGCTGTTACACCCGGTATATGAGTCTAGATCTGACAAGGCAATTTAAGACCATGCTCTTGAATCCTGCTTTTACCTTTTTGGTTTGTAACATTTTGTGGTGTTTTTACGAAACCGGCCCAAGTACAACCTATTCTGTTTCCATCTTTATCGAAGATATAAAAAGTAAATACTGCGTGGGGATAACCTGTGATTATCGATATTCTTACTAAAGTAATGTTATAAATGAGAAAATGTTATTCCATTCCGAGGTGTTCGATCAGATCCTGCGGTGTATATTAAACGTAGATATACCAGCTTCTTCCCACTTACGTTAGTCTTAAATCTGTGTAAGTGGAAATTTTAAACTTTGCGCGCGGCAGTGTAAACATTTTGGCTAGGTAAAAGTTAAAACGCCCGCCTGTCGTGACATCGGAATTGTGTTAATTCAACTGTTCATCCCTGGTCGAAATGATTGTCAATATAAATGTCATCTGGATCTATCCATCTTTCGTATATGGTTCCCTCTTGGAGCCTGATGATTGCAAAATTGCATGAAACTGACATTAACTCTATAGCCCTTCATGATTGCCAATAGTAATACATAGGAGAAACCTTGAGGATTTTCAATTAAAGATAATATGAAAACAAAACATCTATCTATCTCAGTTTGTTCATATCTATCTATCTATCTATCTATCTATCTATCTATCTATCTATCTATCTATCTATCTTTTCCTGCTCATATCTATCTATCTATCTATCTATCTCACTCTGTTCATATCCATCTATCTATCTATCTATCTATCTATCTATCTATCTATCTATCTATCTATCTATCAGTTAAAACATCTGCCTGTCGTGACATCGGAATTGTGTTCATTCAACCGTTCATCCCTGGTCGAAATGATTGTCAATATAAATATCATGTGAATCTATCCATCTTTCACATATGGTTCCCTCTTGGAGCCTAATGATTGCAAAATTGCATGGAACTGACATAACTCTATAGCCCTTCATGACTGCCAATAGTAATACATAGGAGAAACCTTGAGGATTTTCAATTAAAGTTCATATAAAAGCAACATAGATCATTTGCAAAACATATATTCAGTACATTAATTGCTCAACGTAATAGGTCTGATCATAATTCCGATTTAAAAATGTACTTTAATTCAAAGGGAATGCGATTTACTAACGCTAAAATGTCTAGCATTTGCACTGACGATTACATCATCCATGGTAAAATTGCATCTAGATTGCTATATTTCACCATTCGTGGAAGATCTGTTATTACTATGTTGGATACTTAAAAGCAAACGTGATAAAGATGTAGCAAGAAAATTGAATGAGATCGGATAGATTATGTGTCCAGACACGTCTGATAAGAAAAAGAAAAAGAAATTCCTCACAATTGCACATATAAAATTCCATCAACGAAAACATTACTTTACTCCGATGACTTTCTTCTAGAGGACGAAACTCCTTGCATAGACTGTTTTCCACTTTGTCATTCATCTGCCTAATACTGTTCTCATATAGAAAAAAAAATTATACATCATATATATATATATATATATATATATATATATATATATATATATATGATGATGATCCATTTTTCTCTCGATCAGAGCTGCTGTTAACCATTGATCTTAGGAAGCGGTTATATACAGTCGACAGTTTAAATATTTCGGGACGGGTTTGACGCCATGCTCGGCATCCATAGGAATATGTCAATCAGACGTGATGATACGTATTAAGAAAATCTTTCAGATTTTTCACATAACTCACATTTACTAATTTATCGGGAAAGTTGAGAGAGGGAATAATCTAGCCATCGTATTTATAAGGCGTGTCGGCTAGTGATTTTGAAAATAGAATCTGAGAAGTAAGTTCAAGTTTCGTTTTAGGTAGATTATTATCTATTTATGTTTATGATCTTGTAAAAGACAGCTTTCGTTTCTTTCTGCACTCTCTCTCTCTCCCTCTCTCATTTTCCGATCCATTATCCAAAATACACCCTAGAAATCCTCCCAGGATTCATCATTGGCGGCCACAATCTTAACAACCTAAGATACGCAGATGACACAGTGCTGATAGCAGACACGGAAAAGGAATGACAAAAGGTAACGATGGAAAGCGAGAAGAAGGGACTAAGCATAAACTACAAGAAGACAGAATGCATAGTCATCAGTAAAAAGATGAGCCCAAAATGTAATTTACAGGCTGGGGACACTAAAATGAAGCAGGTGGGGAAATTTAAATATCTGGGAAGTGTTCTAACAGAGGCCCGAAAATGCTGCACTGAGATTCGAAAACGTATTGGGATGGCCAAAGACGCATTCCAAAAGCTAAGCAGTGTAGTGTCAAGTGTGTGCCACGGTCGTTAACAGAAGACGACATTGTTTTAACCTTGAACTTTAATACTATTATGATGACGTTCGGATTTCAAAAGTAGCTCCTACGTTTGAAATCCGAGCGTTACTAAATTTCATGCATTTGCGGTACGTTGGAGAAGGACCGAGACTAAATTGAAAGGCAATTCAAGAATTAATAGCGCTGCATTTTCAAATGCATCCATACTTACCACCCAGCTCCAACTTTTTTTTCACTTCCCAACTTATTTGTCCGTTGTAGCTCTTAACAAAGTTTGTCTTTCCTTTATTTCTCTTAAATCCTGTTCCGCCATCGATTTACTCAAGCTTATCAAATATGTTACGCATTGCTTTCATCTGTGCCTCTTTCTCACAATCTTTCCTGTGTCTATCAGATTTACCAATTTCTCGTTCCTCATCATTGACTTTGCCAGCTGGGCGCCCCGAGATGCGATCATGTTTTGCGCGCTAGTCTGTTTTAGTTTGTTCGTTTTATAGCATATCAACATCCTTATGGGTCATTTAATGGCGAAATTTAATTTTTGTGGGGAGCAATATTAACTTTAAAAAAAATGTATTACTGGTAACATTTGGTAATATTTATTTATTTTTTTTTTTAAATTTTACAAAAATATGTTGCTGGTAATATCTATTTATTTTAATTTTTTTTAATTTTTTTACAAATATGTATTACTGGTAATATCTAGTGGTTTTAAATTTTTAAAAACTTTTTTGCAAAAATTTATTACTAGTAATATTTATTTAATAATAATCTAGATAAGAGTTTTAGGTTTTCGTAAGTTGTCCGTAGGTTCCATCAACGTTTTTGGTTTTCTTTAATATATATATATATATATATATATATATATATATATATATATATATATATATATATATATATATATATATATATATATGTGTGTGTATATGTATATCTTTTCTTAATATATATATATATATATATATATATATATATATATATGTGTGTGTGTGTGTGTGTGTATGGGTTTCTTTAACATATATATATATATATATATATTCTTTAATATATATATGTGTGTGTATGTATGAGTGTATGTATGTATATTATATGAAAAAGATTACTTAACTTTTAAATATCAATTTTAGCCTGAATTGAAGGTATATATATATATATATATATATATGTGTGTGTGTGTGTGTGTGTGTGTGTGTGTGTGTGTGTGATGTATGTATGTATGTATATGGTTTTCTTTAATATATATATATATATATATATATATATGGTTTTCTTTAATATATATATATACATATATATACTTTAATATATATATGTGTGTATATGTGTGTATGTAATATTATATGAAAAGATTACTTAACTTTTAAATATCAATTTTAGCCCGAATTCGAAGTTTCTTTGTAAAATTTCCAATCTTCAGGTGTTTCTGGTCTTAAATGATATTTTTAATAACCTTTAAAACCAGAAACCCCTGAAAACTGGAAATTTTATCCAGAAACCTCGAAGTAGGGATGTAATTGATATTTAAACGTAACGTAATCTTTTAATATAATATAATTGACACTCTATTTTTAATATTATTTTAATAGTTTTAATATCGTGCACTATATATCACAACATCTGCTGTCAATGAAATCTTATATATATATATATATATATATATATATATATATACCACAAACTCTAAATCTACCACAAATTCTAACTGTAGAAGTCATAATATAATTTACCTATTAGAATGCACACTATGCCAGAAACAATATGTGGGGAAATCTGAATGGTCCTTTCATTACAGAATTAATAATTATTGGAATCGGATTAAGTCGGCTCCCTACGAAAGATTATTGCCTGTAGAATAGCATTTCCACCTAGAGAAACAAGATTTTAAAAGCCATGCAAAAGTCACTATAATTGAAAAAATAGAAATAGAAAGAAGAAATAATCTTAGAAAAATACTAGAGGAACATGAAGACAAATGTATTTTGCACCTCAAAACATTTCGTCTAGACGGGCTTAACCACAAATTTAACAACATATATAGAATTAATACGCAACCCCATAAATCAAGCTCTAACCACATTTCTTACCCACACAAGACAGACATGCTTGCGGAGGTGTTGAGGTCTCATATTTATACACACACTCACACGAATATATACACATGCTCTCATCACACACACTCCCAAAAAACTAAAAGATAATATATACTTAACACACATCCCATTCCCAGCAACCAATAAAACTGTCAAAATGGCCAAGGAGGGAATTCTTAAAGCCAGGAATCTCCCATCCTTTATCTTAAAAACAACTGAAAAGAGGCGGTTTAACAAACGTAAGGACTGAACAAAATTAACAATAAAAAACAAATGAAAACTACAGATAAAGTGTACTTTCTTCATTCACTCCTGTAGTTCACTGCCGCAAAAAAGCAAGGATATTTTGTCCTCTTGATGATGTCCATGTTGGCCGAAACTAGTTGAGGAACCTAAATGAAATAATAAAACATATATAATTAATATATACAACCCAGTCTGTCTTAAAATTAAAATTATTTAATATTTTTTTATTTTTTCAAACCATATATATATATATATATATATATATATATATATATATATATATATGGGGATTACATAACTGTGGAAACGGCTGAAAGAAGGGAAGTTCATCTGGATAAGAGACTGAAAAAAGGGAAGTTCATCTGGATAAGAGACTGAAAAAAGGGAAGTTCATCTGGATAAGTGACTGAAAGAAGGGAAGGTCATCTGGATAAGTGACTGAGACAGATCAAAAGACATATGCTGAAAGAAGGGAAGTTCATCTGGATAAGTGACTGAAAGAAGGGATGTTCATCTGGATAAGTGACTGAAAGAAGGGAAATTCATCTGGATAAGTGACTGAGACAGATCAAAAGACATATGCTGAAAGAAGGGAAGTTCATCTGGATAAGTGACTGAAAGAAGGGAAGTTCATCTGGATAAGTGACTGGAAGAAGGGAAGTTCATCTGGATAAGTGACTGAGACAGATCAAAAGACATATGCTGAAAGAAGAGAAGTTCATCTGGATAAGTGACTGAAAGATGGGTAGTTCATCTGGATCAGTGACTGAGACACGGTTCGTCACAGAGAAGCATTAACGTTGGCGAGGACGTTAAAATTTCGATACATAAACAGCGAGGCATTTCCAGGAGAACTAGAAATCTTCCCAGGATTCATTATTGGCAGCCACAATCTTAACAACCTAAGATACGTAGATGACATAGTGCTGATAGCAGACACGGAAAGGAAACTACAAGAAGACAGAATGCATGATGATCAGCCAAAAGATGAGCCCAAAATGCAATTTACAGGTCGGGGACACTAAAATCAACTAGGTGCGGAAATTTAAATATCTGGGAAGTGTTGTAACAGAGGACCGAAAGTGCGGCACTGAGATCCAAAGACGTATAGGGATTGTCAAAGATGCCTTCCAAAAGTTAAGCAGAGTATTAAGAGACAGGAAAATTACGTTAGAAACAAAGAAAAGACTAGTGAACTGTATGGCAACGAAGAATGAAGAAGCGACACGAATGAACAGAAAGAATGTTCTACAGAAGGA